TATATACAGTATTTATACAGTATGTATACTTATATATGTATATACAGTATTATACAGTATGTATACTTATATATGTATATACAGTATTTACAGTAATATAAAAAATCTGAATGGACCTCGAAATAAATATCGATATGGTAAGTAAGTAATACAAAATCCAAAAAAAAAAAAAAAAGAAAAAAAAGAACAAAAAAAGAAAATCTGTACTTTAAATCACCTTTTACATCGCAAAAGAGTTGAACGTTTTAAGGAATGAATGTGTTTACTGGTAAGCGAATAAACTTTCCCTTTTTCCTTACTTTTCCTTTTTCTATCTTAWTATTATTATTAACTACCAATCGATTAATCCTTATTCAAAGATTGTCGTCTAATTTTTATATCTTTTTATTTCTTTTTTATATTCGTCATAATATCATATATACACTTGTTTAACAATAATAACAACAACAATAATAATAATAATAATAATAATAATAAAATAAAATAAGAAAAAAAAATATAATAAAGAGAATTAATTTGTAATCTATTAATACAAAATTGAAAATACAATAAAACATTCAACGTACATACATACATACATACATATATACTATGCATGCTTATGCATGTATAAATACAATAATTCTAAAAAAGAAAAATAATGTATAATAATTTCATACCTTATTAGCATTATCCTGATTTTACACGTTCATTCATTAATTTTCTATCTCGTTATTATTTTTATGCAAAATGTTTTTTTTTTTTAAACTTAATTTGTTAAAACAACGATTAACTAATAAACAACGCGATATCAAACAAATGTCATTTACTTAATTTAATATTTCGAGAAAAAAAAAAAAAACAAACTCTCTCTCTCTCTCTCACTAATATAAGTTTCCAAAATGTTTGATTTATCAAATAATACATACGTATGTATAATCAAAAATATAATTATAAATTGAAACTAAAATCAAAATCAAAAAACAAAAAAAAAAAAACAAAAAGAAAATCAACTCTCACGTAATTACACTGAAATTTGAATTATTAAAACAACAACAACAACAACAACAACAACCACCACCAAAAAGAAAAATCACAAAACACAATATACAACTTTGATTATAATTATTATTTTATATATTTCTCTTCTTCATATATATATATATATATATCTATATATCTATATATCTATATATATATATATATTTATAATATAATTATTTATCTTCTTAAATAATAATAATAATAATAATAATTCCATGAAAGAAAACTGTTGAAAAATATAAGCTCACGTTTCAAAACACCAAGTAATCGCATCAAACGATGTTTCTGTACTGACTGAAATTGTACAATACAGTTTTCCTTTTCTCTTTTTCCATCTTTCCTATACCTACTCTCCCTACTCTCTACCCTTCGGTCCCACATTTCCCCTTCCTCACTTCCCTCTCACATTCTTTCTCCTTCTCTCTCTCTCTCTTTGAAAAACTTGTTTCTTTATCTATATATATATATATATATATTTCAACTATTATCTATCTCATTCGTTATTTCCTATTTTTTTTGTTCTTCTCTTTCATTTTGATCATCTTACTCACACTTTGAAAAGAACAATACAGTGTAAAATCTTCTTCTCCCTTCACTGTCTCCCCTCCCTACCACTCTCCCTCCTAATGCCCCTTGTCCTTC